CGCGCCCGGCCCGGCCGCGCCACGTCCGCACAGGGCCCGGGCGGCGGGGCCGGGGCCGCGGGCAGCCCCGGGCTCCGCCTGGTAAACACCGCGGCGGCTCGGAACAGCGGCTCGGGGCTGTCCCGCCGCTGCTGCTCGTTCATCCGGAGCGCCGTGTTGATGATGGTTGCTGCTGTCATCCTAAATCGGTTGGGAAAGGACAAAAGTGTGATTTGAACACAAACAAACAAAGCCCTGCGCGCTGTCCTGAGTGTTGATACCCCAAAAGTGTGAGGGGAAGAGTTGTCAGCACTCTCACAAAGGGATTTATCGTGATGGGGTCGCTGTCACCGTCACTATAAGGGAACTAAACGTGTGATCCTGAAAATGTGGGAGACGGGAAGCCCAAACCATATAGCAAAAGTTTTTGTTTGTTCTGCCTAAAGTGAAATTTATTTTGTTGACAGTTGCAAAAGTCTCTAGGCAGAGGTAATTGATTCCTTTTCCCGGTATGATGCTTTTCCCTATGTTACACACGCCATTCACAACTCCAGAAACAGAGTGCAGAGAGGATTGCCATTGAGCGCAGCCCCTTGCAGGGCAATGACCCTGTTGCTAAGGGGTCCTCTGGTGAGCTGTGCTCCACCGCCGAGGCTGGTCCACCCATTGTCACTCTTCCAAATTGCAACAACTGGTTTGTCAGCCCAGCCCACAGGGTGTAAAAACCGCGTCTGATGTGGCCTTTGGGTGTACCACTAACAGGGATGTGCAGGATGCTGCGCCAAGCCACAGCTTCCCCTTGTGCTGTTGTTACACTGGTAGAACTCCTTTTGACCTAAACCTCACAGACAGCTGAGCTGTGCCTGCTAGAGGATTTGGTGGTAATGACCACAGAAATGTGGTGCTGGAGATTTCCACGTGTGCCTTTTGTGACTCGTGCAAAGAGTGAATGAGACCCAGGCAGGGCTAGTGCTGGTTTGCCTCAGAACCATTGGCAACAGCAGCAGATTTCAAACATTTAAGCAGTCAGATATGTTGGTTTGTTAGTTAATTAGACAGAGAGGAACACTAATGCACCCCTGGAGCTCAGTCACTCGGTGGGCCGGGCAGTCTGTCCTCTGGGGCTGTTTGTGCATCCACAGCTGAGCAACTGCTCCAGTGCTGCTTGGAGAGAGCTGTGATGTGCATGTGGCAGCTTGAAAATGGCTCAGCTGATCAGACCAGCTGTGTTTGAGTTTCCAGAGCTAGTGAGATGTAATCCTTCTGCTGTGTTTGGGTTTGTTTGTTTATTATTAAGCATCTACCTTCAAAACCAAGTTTTTGTTAACGTATTCAGGAATCTCATGTTTGTACAATAATTCAGATATTCTTATTTGCGTCTTGGTCTTGTAATATTCCCGTCTCTGCCTCCTACCTCTATAATATTGTTATTAACGTTATTCCAGAGGTGGGTTTGTGCTGAGGGCTGAATTTTTAGCTTACATATCCACAAGTACCAGAGTGTGCCGCTAGTTAAGAGACAAGTCATTTGGATGGGTAACAGGTGGGTTTTACTGCCCATTCACCCCATCAGTGTTGTTATCAAACATCAGCTTGATGCTTGATCTTAGCAGCAGAGGGATATGAAGTTATTTGAGGGATGTGGGAAATGAATTTCTATGTTTTGTTGTCAGAATAATTTGGAAGCACTTCTGTGAGGAGAGCTACAGTAAGAGCAATGCAGAATGGGCTAAGTGTACACACGGTTGTTCACTGGAAAGCCTCCAGACACTGGGAAGTTTTGCCTCAGGGGTATGGGTTCTGCCCGTCGGAACATTTTAATTTTGCCCCATGTTTGGGTTCCAGTGAGAACGAGCCCTGAAATGCAGTGATCTTATGAAAGATGGGAAATCATGAGTGTCCTGATCCCTCCAGACTTGGTTCGGGACCATTGGTAATAACAACAAAGATTTGATTGATCCAATATGACTTTTTGTGGAAAAGGAATGATACTGCTATTACTTGTCCTTAGAGGGCTGAAGTCTGAGATGGTAATGCTGAGAATAGGCTGCACATTCAGTCAGAACAGTTGTTGATCTGGTCAGTCTTAGCATTGCCAGATCTTTGTATCACTCAGATTAACATTTACAGATTTTGCTGCTGGGCTGTCGTGACCTTGAACTCTCAATTCTCTGTGAAGACATGCCTTCAGCTCCTTTTATCCAATTCACAAAATGGTAGTTTTCTCTTAAGTCCTTTATCCACAATGCCCGTTTCTTAAAATATTTGTATTTTCTGGTTTAGAGATATTACTTCGAACATCTCTGAGCGAAACTTACTGTTCTTGAATGATTAATTAGTTTTAGAGTCTGTGGGGCCATTTTCACCATCCCCACTTCTTCCAATAATGCATCTGAGTTTGATACACATAAGGTTTCTTTGAAACATTGCAAAATACCAGATCTGCAACATCAACAATGTTTTTTAGCAATACATTTATGCAGGAGCAGGCATGCTGGGTAGTTCATAAGCTTTTAATGAAACGCTGGCAAGATATTAGGGTTTTATGGGCTGGAAAACAGTGCAAATCAAAGAGCTTTGCTTACTGTTTATAGCATTTTTCCTCTGAATCTAACAATATTTATCTCACTTTTTCCATCTTGCATTTTGCTCTTCACATATTTACTTTCCCTTTCATTGATATATCTAAAGCCAACAAACTATTTTGTATGAAATATATTCAGAGTTACGATATTCCTGTCACCGTGGGTGTTCAGTCACTGGCATAAAACCTGAGATGACTTATTTCACGTCTGTCTTTGTCTTCAGTCTGCCTTTTTCCTAATGAAGTTACACATATCTTGCATCTTTAGCCAGTGTTTGTGGACATCATTAATTGTGACTTCCCCGAGACCATGCAAATGGCCCCTAAGAGCTGCTGTGCTTTCTGACTGCCTGCTGGCTCATACCTGCTCTTGTCATACTTCTGAAGCTCTTCTCAGAGCATACCTCTATCACTATGTTTTTCTAGTTCTATCTTCTTAAATAGTCAAAATATTGGATGGCATTATAGTAGCCTGGTACTACTAGGAGATAAAAATATATGTGTGAGAGAAGAAGATGATTTCTAAGTAAACAAAAGAACTTTTTTTTAAGAGAAGCTAGAAATAGAAAATATGACTTTTTTCTCCTCAATTCTACTGTAGTTTGTAAATCTGGATTAATCACAGTATTTCTCTGTACATGGAAAATATGGTTGGTTTGAATGGGTATGAGAGTCATGTATGCCACCTCAAATTAAATTGTAGAAAGGTATTTTGTGCTTTTCAGAATTATATTTTACATTCCAGTTAGCCTAATGTGGTTTACTCAAGTCATAGTGTCAGCACTGTTTTTAAAGCTTTGTCTTTTCCTGAGGACACAGGACACCTACTTCAAACTTGTTGGAAAGTTTTCATTGATACCAGTAGACGGCAGCTCAAGCTGTTTACAGTGCAGCTGTATTTTGTTGGGAATGTAACAGTATCAGTATTTCAGAATGAGCTTTTAATGTCTGATTTACTTTGTATGAGTTAGCATTAGATACTCTGTATTTTTGCTTTCCTCCAAATTTCTGCTGGGTGTTAATTGCTCCTTTCAGCTTGGATGTACAAGTGTGGATGGACTGTAACTTTTGTCTGAGCTCCTGTGGGAAACCACGGGGAGCACAATCAGATCCCAAACTGCAAACAGCAGCAGAAACTTTGCAGGAGAGGAAATAAGGGAACTTCCAGAGAACCACTTTGATTAGACTTAGTTTCGGCTTGTCCTGACCAGCTGCTTCATCACAACACCGTATCTCTTGTCTTTTTCTTAGCATGGATGTAGTCTGCATCACTCTCTCCTCCTTCTCTTCTGTTGATCTTTTTGTGCCTAGTTGCCAGAAGAAGGTTCCATGACATAATCTACCCAAAATAGTCGTGGCCTGTGCTATCAAGGAAGCTGACAATCTTATTTGCTCTGTCTGATACACCCCTTCTCCTTCTCTTTGCCTTTCTCATCTGCTTATACCTCAAACTCTTTGGGAGGGATTTCTACTGTTCCTGCTGGTTGGTTTCTGCTCACTTCTACTGGTGACTCTCTGATGATTTTCTACAGAGCCTGTGCAGTGTCTCTCTTCACTTGGACACAGTCTGACTTGGTCCTTAAGGTGTCAATAAGCATAGTTAACAACAATTTTGGAGCACTCCAGAAGTTTTTCTCATATCAGGAATCTTTGTGATTAGTGGTTTTTTTTTAATATGTACATTTTCAAGTGTATAAAAAGATCCTTTGCTTCTGACAGCGTGAATCCGTGTGCTGTATGTGCAATTTGCCCTGGTAATTACTTATGTATGGTGATAACCATAGCAACATCCCAGGTAGATAATGTCATGCAAATTACTGCAGCTCCAGGGATGGGAGATGTTAATACAAGTATGTGCTTGAACCCCTGGTCTTCAACATTTTGCAATGACTTTCCCTTTCCCTCCCACAAAATATATTGGTTTAAAATTTTCTTTCCTCCCTATGATCAGGAAGTCAAAGAAAACCTCTTGCTATGTTTCTCATTGGTATTCTCATCACAGAGGGAGAAGGGAGGATGGTCCTTCAATGTTTCTGTCATGAATAATTTTGTGTGCACAGTGGAAATTCCACGGTGTATGTAGGGCATAAAAGTCTGGAGACTTGGATACACTGCTGGGCCGTGCTGTGCTTAAACCCAAGTTCCTGCATTTGCAAACACGGAGTGTGAGCACGTGGGGGTGGAATTGCAGGCACAGATGTTTGGACTGAGGTGCAAACGTCCTCAAATCAGTTACAGAAGGTATGGGAGAGCAGCTTTGTTGCTCAAAGCAGACACTGCTGTAGCTGAATACTTATCAGGGCCCGTGTATTGTTAGTGAAATGGGGAAATAGCAGAGAAGGAGCTCGAAAAAATTATCCCTTGTTTGGTCATAAGCGAGAGCAACAAAATTAAATCTGTAGGAGAGCTGAACTGCACACACACCAGTCCTTGTGTAGCTTTAGAACCCTGGATGTATGAAAGTAAGGTATGCCTCCAAATAGTAACTGGAGTATTTTGTTAAAGATAGAGAAAAAGCAGACAAGGAAATTGGTTAAGTAAAGATTTTACTTTTCTTTGGTGAAGAACGAAATTGTTGCTGAATTCCTTCTTCTTTGGAGTTAAATAGTGAAAATG